TTCTGCATGCCCTTCAGTTGGCCTTCGGTAATTGGTTGAATAGAGATGGTTGGGAGAATGCCCTGGATGCTTTGAATCCCGGTTATTTCCGAGAAGAACGTGTCAACCAGGAAGGTGAAAAGGTCACGGTCAACCTTGAAGGTAGCATCCCAATTTGTTTGCAGAGAGCCGAGTGTGTCATTGAGGGAGCCTCCGTTCAGTTTGATCGTCATTTCACCATGAGATGCGATACCTGTGTTATCCGATATGGGTGTAAGTGCGTTGATATCAGCAAATACAGAGGCATTGGCCACTGGCTGGGCGTAGTGAGTCTGCACGATAGCAATCTTGCCAACGTTGGGAATACTACCAAAAGACACGATTTCAGCGGCATCGGTGTCTTTCGAAGATCCGACGGTAGCGAAATTGAAAATAGCATCCAGAACAGCCTTGAAATTGTTTTCTGTAAAGATGCGCTGGCCACCCCACATATTGCCTTGGGGGAAAGCGTGGAGCTTGAAGTTGGTCACTACACCAAAGTTGCTGCCACCGCCACCACGGAGAGCCCAGTATAAGTCAGAAAATTCGGTGGGACTGGCAGTAACAACCAAGCCAGATGCCGTGACGACTTCATAGCTTGCAACGTTGTCACAAGCCCAACCCAGCTTGTTGGAAAAGAATGAGATCCCACCACCAAGTATGAGACCTGGCACCCCGACTGGAGCCATCTAAATTCTTGTTATCAGGGAGTTGTTGTAGTTCTCAAAAGGCGACTTACCCTGCCTCCAACGACGCTGACACCAGATTTTTCGATCGTTGTATATACATCAACCCATCGAGTTCCGGCACCGACATTGGCATATTTCTTGTCATTTGAAACAGCAACGTGATTGAAGCGCTCCATGGATACGGTAATGCCTCCCTCGATGCTGGATGCCCCAGCAAAAGCAGCATGACCACCGCCTTTCACAGCAAATGGGCATTGTGTCAAACGGGATATCAACAGCCACGAAGATATTTCGATAGTGCTGGATGGCTTGAAGACACATCTCGGGTTTACAGCACCCTGCTGGACGCTCCAGTAGGCACCAGTGAATGCATCGTATGTAGATGAATTGTCGAAAAGCAGCTTGTCGCTGCCATAGATGCGCTCCAAGGATGAACACTTAGAAATGGTCAGCAAAGCCAATGAGTAAAAACAAGTTCGAGGTTCGGAACATACGGCAGCAGAGCACCCATTGAATGATCGTCCTGAAAACTTGGCAAGCTCAGGGATGGCGGACACGTCGATACCATTGGCGATCAGCGCTTTGGTGATGTTAAATTTTGCAGGTTCAAAAGCACCTGTCGTCTGTGCCGAAGCAAACGCGACAAGGGTACTGATTTGCCAAAGGACCTTCATTCTGGGATCGGTGGAGGACGGAAGGAAGGCGGACGAGTTCCCAGATACCCAGCCCCGTGCTGAGCAGTACAAGCTTAATTTATTCTGGCTGTCAAGACTGGGAATTGATCCGCGGCAGACAATTGGCGCCTTCCAGTATAGTTCATCTCGGTTGGGTGAACAGCTATGCTTTTGGACTTTAGGGGAGCAACGACTAGGGTCGTTGGTGGCGAAGCTCGTTGTTATTCGATGGAGATTTAAACTAAGTCGCACCTGCGTTAGTGTATGCTGCATTGCGAATCCTTCGCAGCATTAATGTGATTGCAACAACAAAGTGTGTTGCAGTGTTCTTGCATCTTGGCTCTCTAGTCGTCATGGGTTCAGTCTGGAAGTAGACAGCTGACTGAACTTTTTCATCTCATGTGAAGGTGAAGAAATGGGAGCGGAACGAAGCTGATCGTGAACAGACCGTGACATTGCCAAGTGCCAAAAAGTCCGGGGTGCCAAGAGTTGTCCAATGCGGCAATCTCTTGTTGCGAAGGATGTCAGCATTTTTGTCAGGCCAACATTTGGGCCTGTATCTTGGCGTAATCCGCTTGGAGCCGTACAATATGCATATTTGGGTGCTACCCAATCACATGTCCAACTGTAACCCGACGACGTGGTCAACGAATATATGGTTGCCCCATCAAGCGTCTGCTCCGACACCCCATCTTTTATTGCAAGCAATCGCCTGTAATGTTGAACACGACCTCGAAACGACCACGAACCAGCGAATTTTTGTCCTTGGAGACCTTATGCATAAGGAATCTACAAGGTCTTTGTATTGGACTCCAGCGGCACATTCGAATTCCATTGAGCTCATTGAGCAATCAAGTGGGTACCGCGTTTGAGACGGGTGCATTGACTATGTGAATGTCATGTTTAGGAATGGCACGACATGCAAAGCTATGCATAGTGAATAACAGTGGCACAGCCCGGCGGTAAGTACCTTGCATGCATTGCGTATTACGACCGCCACAGCAATCTCATTCTTCGTGGAGAATTCTGTTCACACACACACCTTCGACTTGAAGGGTCTATTCCCTACCCTGTGTTTTGTTTTTACGTTCTTGGGCTGGTTCAGGTTAGAATGTTACTAACAGTAATGCTGGTTGGCGTCGCGGCTAGACTTATCTAGGTGTGCTTTACAAAACATAAGTCTGTTCTTCCTCAAGAGGTAGAGATATAGTGCAAATCAGCACTAAGCAGAGATTATTTTAGTATTACAGCGCTAACAAAACGGAGGCTCGTTTGGTACCCCCCAAAACGCCCGTTTCACCGAATACAACAGCGGTTTACGTCCCGTTTTCAAAACGGAGCTGAACGGGACAGGACCTAAGTCTTCTTGGGAAATGCTTCAAGCCCCTTAGATCCTACGCTCCGCATACTTATGGGCAACCCATGGAGTGCGCGGAAGGTACCGTACTTGAATTCTAGGAAGAACGTGGTATCATTACGCAAATTGCTCGGCTTTCCAAAGAGACTTCATCCTTGAGAATTTGGGCTGCGAATGAATTATATACGCACGTAAGGCAAAGTGCTCGGATACGCAGTTAGCTATCTCCACAAACGTCCCCGGCCGTTCGAGACTCGCCAATGCTAAATATGAGGACCTGAACCGCCAACTCCGACGTCGTATCTCATGTCAACACCTCCAAAGAGCCCCATAACCAAGGATGAGCTGGTGCGTACAAACGTAGCCATGCTCATCCTGACCTCGTTATTCATTCTATCGCGAGTGATCCTCCAGATCGCTAGACGCAGAGCCTTCGGATTGCCCGATTTTTTCATCTATTTCGCTTTTGTTCTGTTCGTCTCCATGTGGACATGCTACATCGCCGTCATACCCACCATGTTCAGAATTTTCGATGTGCTTGAGGGTCTCATCCGACCATATCCCACAATGATGGGTGACGCCGGGAGGCTGCTTCGGCACATCACAGCTGCTCAGATGCTGTTCTATACTCTTCTATTTACTGTCAAAATGTCTTTGTTGACACTGTACCGGAAGATTTTGGTAGGGCTACCTGTCATATACGACAGGATATGGTGGGGTACCGTGGCGTTTTGCATTCTGGTCAGTATCTGTTCTAGCACCTGGTAGCTATCAATATAAGCGCTGACCTGATCATAGTCCTGGATCGGCAGTATTTTCACGAGTGTTTTCACGTGTAATGATCTCAAAGAAAAGTTCTCAAGAGGGAGATGCGCTGGCACGCCCGATGAGCAACAAAGAATCATCTTCAGTCTCTGTTTTGCATACTCGGTAGATGTGGCCACTGACCTTGCAAGTAAGTCGATAAAAGTCAATCGAGCTTTGCAAAGCGGTGCTGACAAATTCAGTTATGATTCTTCTTCTATTTCTTATATGGAAGTTGCAGATGCCTAGGAAGCGAAAGATTGGAATCTTCATACTATTCGGTAGTGGCTTCGTTTGCATAGCTTTCGCTACGCTCCGCGTCATACAAGTGGGTGTTGATCGTCGCGGTAAAACAACAATACCGGAGCTTGATTGGTTATTGCTGTGGACAGTCGTGGAATGCGCAATGGGTATGTTGATGATGGAAACTTTTGCTAAGACTGCCATGTGCGTCGCTAACACAAAGTCTAGCCGTCGTTATTGGATGTTCTCCCGCCTTTACAGGCCTGATTCGTAAACGAATCGTCACTATAGGGGGACCAGCATACGATAGGCAAGGTTACATCAAACAAGGATCTAATGAGGTGGAGATGGGGATCATGGCTGGCTCTGCAAGTCAACAAAACCATGTGGCCCGGGATCCGTACGAGGAATATTTTCAATACAGCCAGGAAGAGCTCACAAGAACCATTCACAATAGTCAAGAAGAGCTCACAAGAACTACTCATAACAGTCAAGAAGAGATTACAAGAGCTACTGAATATACGGCAGTCGTGCGGGCTGTTAGCTAGGTTGAGCAAACATGAACTTATGAATTAGAACATAGCAAAAGTATTGTATCAAAATAAAAGAGCAAAAGGAATTAATCGTCGGTAAAAAGCAGTCAATATACATCAGTATCCTCTCAACTTGATATCAAGGATCCTTGAATATATGTGAAGTTTGTCACGTTTATATGACTTGCGTCACCCCGTTTAACGACACTCACACAAAGAAACACAAACCCCAATCTTGGCATCTCGATACGACTCTCGCATTAAGCCCGACATTCCGGTCACACAGCTATACGACAAGCTTTCCTCACAAACACAAACAAATCCCGAAACTTATGCTCGTGATATACCCCGACCATAGCTATAACCCAAAGTTAAACATAACAAACTAGCCCCCATCGCCATGCCATCACCCGAACAAAACATCAACATCACATCATGACTCAAAACAGACATCACGAAGCAGAGAAAGTAACTTATATCGAGCAGCATCTTCAATTGTCACCCGCAATATCGGCGGCTAATCGGGCAGCCATCTAGGCTCGGTAGGTCAACCACCAGCATCTCCAAAACGCCTCTACTTAATTTTGTCCCTGTATCAATTCGGACTGATCTTTGTATAGTAATAAACATATGTGCAAATCTCCCTCGGCATTCTCACTCCATAGCCATGACACTGAAGCGCTTACGCGCCAGGAGTACGGCGGCACAGAGGACGGCCGCGCTCCAGAGTGTTGGGGTCGCAAGTGAGACGGCTGTCTTCGATGCAAGTCAATTGTGCGCCGCCTAGACATGTCTATTAGTTTCTGTTGCCACCAACACTATTGTTTACGGAGTTTTTTTTTTGAACTTACAGTTGTTGATGCTGTCAGGCACGCAGCGACCAGTTTGACCATTGACATTGCACACATCCTGCTTCAAGCTCGTGTTTGCGATACAGCATGCGCCGTTGGGGACGGGGCGGTTGGCATTTGCGCCCTGAGGCATAGCGGCTGCGAGAGCAGAGAGAGCGAGGACAATGGCGGAGGTAGTGAACTTCATTTTGAAAATTTTGAGGAAGTTTGTTTGTAAGGGTGAATAATGTTTATGATAGTATAAGTTGGATTAAGGAGGTTTAAAAGACCGACCAGCGGAAGAGGCGAAGAATTGAATAAGGGGAGGAAAGTAGAGGAGTAGACGAGAAGACTGAGGTTGAAGATGCTGATGAGGCAATTCTCAGGGCGAACCAAGGCACCCTTCTTATACTTTGCAAAACCTGAAGGAACAGGCGCGCCTGGGCTGGAAACTCCGCACGATGGCATTGCCTTGACGCACTGCAACACCCGTTCACCGCAGCCTCGTCGAGACACACGACTAGCCGACTACTACCCCAAAAAACCCATCGAGACAAACACAAAACACCAAGGTCCGGCTGCAGAAGCCTGAAAAGTACGGCGGAGTAGCCGCTTTGGGTGGCGCAAACCCGGCGCAGCAGAGAAAGCGGTTCATGCTACTCAGGCGCGTGGGCGACAAAGGGCAGTGCACGATACGCAGATCATACAGGGACGTCAGCAGATGGCTTCCTTTGAGGGCTTCGAGACGTGGGAAGAGCGCAGGAAGGCGCCAATATATGAAACTGTTATGCTGTTTAGGTGGCGGGTTTGAAACGTTAGTCTCCGCTGCAACATCCACATTGGCAGGTTGACGGGGGTTGTGTTACCCACTCTTGTATGCGGAAAACACGGGCTTGGGAAGATGTATGATTCATGGTTTTTCTTGTTCCTGGGCGCGTGGAAGAGAATTATTGTAATTGTACCATGCATATGTTCAATTGTGCATTTTGTTTATTTTTCTCATACCAACCCTTGAGTATCTAGATAGTAGTCGACTCTCTACTAATCTAGCACTTCAGAAAAGATAAAAGTCTCCCTGCGCTTCTGCCTCCACCTTCAAAGTATCAATAATGAGATACCGATCCAATTCCCCCCTGTGTCAAAAGTGACTCCTTCCTCATCTTGCCCAACACCCGAGGAACAAGACTCTCATGCGCCGTACATGCCGCCGAGTCTCAATCAGCAGTCCCAATCCAAACTGCAGCACCTCCACATCCGGGAACCGCTTCTCCCTCACCTTACATGAGAAAACGCAATGCAACCCAATTAACCAAGTAAACAAACGCTCTCGCCTGCGCCTTCACCCCCCCCCCCCCGCCTCGCCCACCAACGCCACACTATCCCTCCCCATATGCCGTGCAGCCGCCAAATCCGCATCTGAAAAGACAAATTTAGCCCGGCTGCACAGCCGGTGCAGCAGCATAGCGTTTGTAGCACTTGCGCATAAGACGACGAGTTCAAAGTGCGAAAGCGGGGGACTGTGGCATCGGGTGATCCAGCCCGTTCCAGGGGCGTTTTGTCGTTATGCGATATGTTGAGGATTACTGTGTATTCTTTGTCGGTTATTCGGTTTCGATATAGCTCACCTGGCATTCTTCGCAGTGCGTGTGCGAGTTTGACTATTCTCACGGCCCAGACAAAGCTGGCTGAGTTGGGCTGGCTGGGATGAGAATGATTTGTCGCTCGGGCATGCTCTTTTGGGCCACAAGCCTCTGTAGGTCCGGGCGCATATTGAGGTCTTTGTAAAGAGTTTTACGCCCATGTGCATCATCCCAAGCGGCAGAATTCTGGGCTGAATCCAAAATCTACAGTGATCATCTTGAGGAATGCAGAGGCCCATTGGATCAACAGGTATGCGCAGTCCATGTCTACAATTACCCATCTATTTGAACGGCCAAGTACATAATCGGGCCAATTTTATACAAACTCTTGTTGACGCGAAGCACTTGTGTCTGGATCGCTGGCTTGAACCCGTATCTGAGCGGCCTTTTTCTCCTGGGTAGTTCAGTTATCATGCCCCCAGTATTGCGTAGAGCCAGTAGCGCCTCCATAATCTGGTAGCATATCTCTCTCGGTAGAGTATCTGGACGGCTTTTTTGTTTCAGAATTCATGTTGAAAGCGGCTGAATAGTGGGACTGTTGCAGATATGATTAGAAAGGGACAAAATGCCGGGACTGGAAAGTTACAGTGTTATGACAAGTGGTTGAGGGAGGAACATTATCCTAAAGAAAAGAGTTGATAAATTGAGAGCATATTCTTAAGCCAATGAGTGGGCGCAGTACGTGGCATGGGTGTGAAACATAAGATATTGTGAACAATTGTGGTTTGAATGAATGACAAAGGGACAGACAGACGCCTTTTACACCCGGACCCTGTTTGTCACAACTACGTTAAAGCCCAGGGGATGAACAATCGTCAATTATTGAGGCAACATAGTATTGATATGACTTTTTTGAGAAAAAAAAATCTATGTAGCAAAGTGTGCCGCAACGGCACATCAGTGGTGATGTCACAGCGATACAATAACAAGACAAAGTGCCAAAGCAGCGCAACTCTCCCAGCAAATAAAAACAGGAAAAAAAAAACTCTAATTTCTAATTCACAACTATTTTTGCAAGCACATTCCCAAACAACCCAATCCCCCTACTGCCCAAACTGCCCAGCCCCCAACGTCCCCTTCAAATCCATCTTCAACAACCCCTCCCTCTCAATCTCCTCCTTCCTCTTGACCAACTCCTCAACATCCCAATTCGCACTCACAAACCTTCCTTCGAGAAACTTCCTATCCACCCCTTGCCATCCGGCGAGCCACACCCCAACACCACCCACCAACTCCGGTGTATCGAGCGCAAACCGCTTAAACGAGTCAATCGTCATCTCGGTATCCACGACACCGGGGTGCAGAGCTACAGCAAACACGTTCGGGTTCTCGGCTGCAACGTACGTCATGAGTTGCAGGACGGTGAGTTTGGAGATGCCGTAGGCGCTGAGGGCGGGGAAGACTTCGTATGCGGCGCCGGTGGTCAGGGTGATTATTTTGGCGGGGGTGTCGGCGGAGGGTAGGTGTTTGAGGAAAGATTGGGTCATCAGGAAAGTGCCGCGGGTATTCAGAGTCTGTTCAAAAGGTTAGAAAAAGAAGGGGGGGGGGGAAATGCAAGGTGATTGAGGAAGGAATGAGACATACGATTTCGTCCCACCAGGCTGCTTGATCGACGTCTTTGACGGACCCAATGGCTTTGAAGAGGCCAGCATTGTTGACAAGGACGTCAGCATGACCATATTTTTCTTTGACTTTTTCGTAGAGTGCTGCGACGGATTTGGGGTCCGCAATGTCGGTAGAGACGGATAGGGTTTCAACGTTGGGGTAAGATGTAGCGATTGATTTTGCGACTTCTTCGAGCTTGTCTGCACGTCGAGCTACGAGAACAATTGCTTTGGCGCCTGCGGCAGCGAATGATGGTACAAAGGACTGACCGATTAGTTACAAGCATAGAGTGGGACTGCAAATCGGGCTGCACATACTCGAGCTCCTAGGCCTTGGCTAGCGCCAGTGATGATAATCACCTTGCCCTGTTGAGAAAGCGAGCTTTGCTTGGGATCGATCGCTGGATAAACATCCCGATGTACAACCGGAACAAACTGCTGGGCCTTGACGAAGTGGTCTACAGGAAGGTTCTCCATTGTTGCTGTCGTGATGTGTGTTGCTGAATCAAAGATAAAGTGGTCAAGTTGAGAGGTGGTAGGAACTGAGAATAGATGTTGCTGGATAGCTATGATGCCATCACATCATGACCTCTTATATGTACTTTGCTTCTCCCTCAATGTTGTGCATTATTAATGCCGTCGCTGTAGTCTCCGTTGGTGCATCCATTGGTAATCGTTACTGAGCTCATCCGCCGTAGTGTAAGGAGCGATTTTACGGTCGGTCCTAAGAGGCGAACATCGCGACGGAAGCTTTGAAATACAATGGGTAGCGCTCGATAGTACAATTCAGGGCAATGCTGCTAGAGACGCGGTTACCAATCGGTGCAAAGCGCGGCTGTAAGTACAGGGATGTCCTCGTTCCTAATCTAGTACTAGTGCTCCTCCTCCGCATCAGCCGCAAAAGCTTCTAAAATGCCCATCGGAACGCTATCAGATGGCGCATTGTTTGACCGGTGGTGATTAACAATCTGCATGACTTCTTCTCGAATTAGGTCATCGGTGCCTGCAAATATTTTCTCTACCCACAAAACCTCTTTGACAATGCTCATCAGCCCGTCCCACTCTTGCAGCTGCATGCCACTCATCAAGATGCCGAGCATTAGAACGAATTGGCTTCTCTCGGCCAAATCTTTTGTCTCAATGGCGGCGAAGTAAATGGCCCAAATGAGCAAGGGTTTAAGTTCGTTCCACTCAATCATGTTGTCCAAGAGGACAAGCAATAAGTTGCGGGATATAGCGGAGGTTCTGACTGGTGATTGGCCGAGTGCTCTCCAGAACGGCGATAGAAAAAGTAGCGTTCCGAGCCGACACACTTCTTCCATGACATGTTCTCGGCCGTTGCCTTTGTGCAGGGGCCGAATGGACAGTAGACGGTAGACGGTCGGCTCCATCCAGCTGCCACTTGTGATTGCGAGCATAAGCTGTTTCTCGTTGAACATGCGATCAAGCGATATCAACTGAACTATATCGTCGAATATTGTGATCCAGTCTAGTTGCATGGGCAACTGGTGCTTCCATGACAAAGACACGGCATTGGCAGGCCGTGGAGAGTTTGGCGGCGATTTAGAATCTATAAGCCATTGTGATGGCATAGGAACAGTAGGACTATGGTCTTGAAAGAAGCTTCCTATAAGGTCTCCCCTGGTCTTGGCTTTAGCATGTTGCTGTCAGACTAAGGTTTGCTCCGGTGGCTTACCAGCTTACTGTAACCCGTAGGAAATCTGTTCTGATGGAATCATAACCCCCTCTAAGCTGCACTATTCTTGCTAATGCACCAGCATGCTTCTGCCAGACATCACCCGCAAAGTTCCCTAGCAAAGCCTGATTTGTGTCAGTTGTGTGCCAAGATTACTCTGCACAAGCTACTTACTTGATGAATCATGAAGGAAACCATGGAACCTATCAGCTCGTCGCTCTGGTGCATCTTTGGGTCCTTCATCATCTCAGTAGTGTGGCGCAGAGCCTTGTGATGAATTTTTAGTGCAACAGCATCGTCTTGCGAAGGGAAATATCCATGGCGCTTTTCAAACAAAAAGTTTTGAGAGTTGGCAAGCATGTTCCAGAAAGCAGGGATGTAACTGAGTCCAACGGGATACCAAGAACCTCGCAGAACAGTAGGGTGGTTGTTATCCTCGGTCGTAAGAACTGCTCCCTATCAGAAAAGAGTCACGGTGATTTTGGAACACACCCACCATTAGCCAGCAGAGCCCGTTCGGAATCATTAAGTTCGACAGGATAAGGGCCAAAGGGATCGAGTTGGCCGCCACCGAAGCGATCGACATGCATGCGGCTCTGCTCAGATGGTTTGCGGAACTCGAGGACGATCTCATGACGTGCCCGTTTCGTCTTTGGCTTTCTCCTCGCCTTGCCCACCTCGGTCATTGCCAGACGGCGGATTCGGAGTTGCGTCTCCTCATTCTTGAGGTCATCAGGGTGTTGAAGATTCACAAAGTTGAAGCTTGGTTTGGTAGAGCGATCCATGGCGATGAACAAAGCTCGCTGGGTATGTTTCGTCATCGCGCGCAAACAGAGCTCCGTCCTTATCTTTATATGTACTCTAGGCACACCTCAGCGGCCGCCAGAAGGGGGGAATTATGTCATGGCTGTTTGAAATCGAGGGCTGTGGAAGAGACGATTCCTATGTGGAATGGCAGCCGAGTTTGGGGGCGGCGGAATACCGACAGCGTGGAGCTGCGGCCAACTTGGCGAGGCACGCCATCTTACAGGTAGGTACAAGCGAGCAGGCCATGTGAATACAAGCAAAACTGTGGCAACGGACGAGTATCACACAAATGTCCATCTCGGACAGATGGATGGAGGTCACAGTTCGGAGAGATAGTTAATGCGCATCCGATGAGGATGTGCTAATTAGTAATGTGGTTTGTTGGCCAAAGTGAATGAGTAATCACACAGTAGTCATTTGGGAAGGAGCACAAATTCCTAATCACATTATGCAGAGCCTATAGTAAAGAGCATCCCAAGGTCACACCAGATACAGATGGCTTACTGTATACACGATCGTGCGGAGTTGCCGTCTTATATACATGCCGAATGCACACTGCGATTGTGAGCGGCGTTGATGGGTCAGGACGAATACCGGAGCTGCCGAAGCCCTACCCTCAGCTCGGCACTATTGTTAGGGGTTCTGGTTGATATGATCAACTGTCTTCGATATTTGATTAGGAAAATGCACAGAAACCCCATCCAGCTCCTACGATCGACGACTACCAGCACAGCGCAATAGGCAAAGATAGGCGAAGCTGCCTGTCCCTTGCTCCAAATCGCGTGCACAAGTATCCCGGGCCTCTAGCGCTCACCGAGTCCGCTTTGGGTTAGCGCGCCAAGGGGCATCTCCATAACATGGCAAATTTGTCGCCAGCCCTTTCTGTTCTCTTCAACGCACCATCAGACAGTTCAGCCACCCATCTCACCAGCATCTTTACGTCTTGTAGTCGATGCGACCCGAGTCAATCAATTGGGCGGCTGCGATATAGCGCTGCGGAGAAGGAACACAGGTGCTCCATTAGAGCTGGCTGCGCATTTTTACGGTTGCGCAGGCGGTGTCATAGGAGCCGTACATACTTTACTTTGCGCATGTGATTTCTGGAGTCCTCGAATGATCATGCTGCAAGAAAGACGTCGCGAAATCAAGCTGAACGATACCTCATCGTGTGCAGGTATTGCCAAACATGAATGCCCATGTGTTGTAGTTACGTGTCTATGTACATGCATGATATTTCAAAGCTAGTGCTGCGCTCGTAACTTGGCCAAGGAATAAGATGCAAAACCATGGGCTATATTACTGGCATCGCTAAAGGCTACGCGATTCGGCAAAGACGTGCTGTAAGCAATATGACCAAGGTAGCGACAGTGAGACAACTTCATCAAGCCAGGGCCACCTCGCGTCCTCTCTTCTTCAAAATAACCTGTATGCAATCCACCTTGGCCATACCATCCTTGCCTTTCATCTCTTGTTCCATGTCCTTGGCCTCCCACACATGCTCAATATCCCGCATCACTCTGCGCAAGCTTGGGAAGCCCTTGACTGCATACATCTCCTCAAATCGATCTCGCACAAACTGTCGTTGTTTGCTGTCGATTGCCTCACATCCGGCGGTAAAGAGCGGCCATATGTGTGACGTAGTCAGAGGCGAGTGAACATCGATTTGTTGCAAGTAGGCCAGACATTGATTAATGTGATCCATACTGATGGGATTTGGGGCGCCGATATCGAGCCAGGTCCGGTAGAGGTAGATGAAAGCTGCGTGGCGGTATGCTTCAGCTGTCAGCTTGATGTCTGCGCTTTCCTGAACATTTTCCTGCTTGCAAACGGTAAAATCCATAGCCAGTAACTTCTGCTGAATATGCCTGCCGGTTGTGTTTTCGTTTTCCGATAGAGCTGGACTTGTTGGCGACAGTGACCTTCTCGTCTTGATGGTATGCTGCAACTGACTAATCTGGGCAACTACCAAGAGGACGTTTGCAATGCTTGCTAGCCTCTCCTCCCCTTCGATAGCAGAAAAGTCTGTCTCGTGATCTAGCAAGGGATTTGATCCTCTCGAAACGGATGATAAGATGTCGTGGTATGCAAAGATGCTCATCAGAAAGCGCGCGCGCGAGCTACCCAGCCAATTCTCCCCTTGACTCCTAACTATCATCGCCTTTGCACCAGTCAAATGATTCGCAACACATTCCTCATCGTCTTCGCCAAAAAGCCGCGCAGATACCTGCATCATCATAACAGTCGCCAGCGCTGGCTCAGCATTCATTTCAGATGGATCCTGGATCATGCGTTGGAGTTCATGTATAGCGTCTCGTTGATGACGGTACCTCTGGAAATACAGAAACGAATCTTTTGAAGATGTTGCAAGATGGTTCGCGGCCATGGAGAGGATCGTGGATCTGAGCGCAGCAGATTCGCATGCCATGGCCGTGAGGTGTCGCTGAAAGGGAGTCGAAATGCCCATATTGGGAGCCACTGATATGAGGGTGGAAAGTCGATCTACCCAATAATCGAGAAGCCATCTATCATCTGGCGATAGACCATATGACAATCCGGGGCTGTTGAGTGGGAATAGAGGCAAGCTTTTCGTCGACCCCGGCGACGAGAGCGTGTTCTCAGGGGTAGAAACGATTAAAGGCATGGATGAAAAGCTGTTGACTGAGGCTGGGCTCAAGGCAAAATCTTGCTCAAGAGCTTTGTTCTTCCGACTCTTTCGTGGTTTTGTGGGAGTGCTGACAGCACCCTCCTGCCACTTCAACCTGAACCCATAACCTTTGCATGTAATCTTCAGCCTCATACAGCGCCCACAGAATGGCTTCTGCTCGTCGCATTTGTACCCGGCCTCCCTGCACGTCCAGCATCCGGTCCGGGTTCTCTTGTGTGTTGCCATGTTGGTGAGTGGTACATGTTCACTTTGTCGCTACATTTTCTGGTCCCCGTCTGTGAACACGCAACTTATAGCATGTTCTTGAGCTTCCGAAAGGCTGTGCTGATGTTCAATGATTGGGTAGCAGATGTGGTAGTTGAACCAATCTGGGCGGTTGCGCAAGATGGGAGGTGGAGAGTGGCAAACCACACTAATGCTAGCTCCCGCCCAGATCCTTGAGGCCGAGGCTCGCTATGCAGCCCTACGTAGATGGACTTGATATTTGTATTGTATTGTACATATGTAACAGCATTTCCTCTCTTCCTGCAATCTTTCATCGCATCCTATAACAAAAAATTCGTCGTTGGCAAGCACTAAGAAGGAAATACAGACAGGCTTCGAATGACGTATGACTATAGCTTCGCAGCATCCTTCCATACCAACCCACCCTGCTCCTCGACGTAGTGCCTTCCCTTGGTCCATCCCATCCACGTGCTCAATGTATCTTCTCCTCCACTTCCTGGCTTTAGCCCCTTCTCACTCCACCCACTACCCTTCCAACCGATACCCTGACCCTCGGCCGCAGTTCTCTCATCATTGCCTTCGTGGATCGCATAGCCAGGCGAAGTCTTTAACGTAACAGCAGGTCGCTGGTCGAATCCCTGTTCCTCCAGCTCTGCTTGGGTCAAGACGGGTGTGCAGCACGCGTCTGTACCATCGAATATAGCCTCCCACTCGGCACGCGTCTTTTTCTTGAATTCTGCCGTGAAAAAGTCCTTCAACTTGGGCCAATCGGCCATGTTATCCCTGCTTCCAGGTAGATCCGATGCTTCAAGCCCCATGCCCTTTAGCAGCGCAGCATAGAACTGCGGTTCAATCGCTCCGACAGCCATATAGCGCCCATCCTTGGTCTCATAGGTATCGTAGAAAGGCGCACCACCATCCAGCATATTGGTACCACGCTCGCGTTTCCACACCTCTGTCTTCAAGCCCAATCGAGGCATAGTTGCAAGTATAGCACTTCCGTCCACCATGTTCGCTTCCACAACCTGTCCAAAGCCACTACGCTCACGCGCCAGAAGCGCAAGCAGTATGCCGACAAAACACATCGCGCCTCCTCCGGCGAAATCGCCAACCACATTGCCTGGCGGATACGGTTTCTCGCCCTTTCGGCCAAACATGCTCAACACTCCCGATACAGCAATGTAGTTGATGTCGTGGCCCGCCATTTGCGCGTACTTTCCGTCTCTCCTGAAGCCCGTCATACGCGCAATGATGAGTCGCTTATTCAGTTTCAACAGCACTTTTTCCGGATCCAGGCCCGCTTTTTCGAGCACACCGGGACGAAAGGGATCAATAAGGATATCTACTCGTGGTATAATTTTCTTGATGAGTGCGAGGCCGGCGGGTGACTTGAGGTTGACGCATATCGACGTCTTGCGGCGCGTGAGCTGGTCAGTGGTCGGAGTACCGGGTGCGCGGTCGAGACGGAGGACGGATGCACCATAGTCGGCCAGGAGCATGCCAGCAAAAGGCCCTGTATGAGATGAGCTCCAGGTCCGTAAAGAATCGCAGAATAGAGAATATCGGGCTTACCGGGAGCCAGGCCCGCGAACTCGAGAACGCGTATGTTGGAGAGTGGAGGCGGTTGGGGCGCAGTCATGGTGAATTAATTACGCAAGTCACTCTGCTACTAGCTTTTGATATACTTCAAGTAGTTATCTGGAAGTAAGCGCAAAAATATATCGGGTTTGTACATGCTCGACGTCGACATTGTCGATAGGATGCGCCGGTTAACCACTCCCGCGGGGAAGATGCCGAGGTGCAGCTGTGGAGTGCTTGAGCTGGGGTAACAGTATTTAGCGCCATTCCGCCTCGTAGCATGTAGCCGACTTATCTTCCTTCCAACCAAGACCTCCATCCTTCACTCCTATATCTTCTCCATGAATAACCTCGGGAAAATGAAACCTCGAATCAAATCTCAAGCTTGGGAGCCTCTACAAAACCAGCTTCCCTCATGATCTCATGCTGCCGGTGCCTTCTCCAGGCATCATCATGGAGCGTTCACTTCGTAACATCCCCGTGGACCTAGTATCAGCTGTGATACACTGAATTCACTGCAAATAATGAAGAGTCATAAAATAGGAAGTCATAACTCAATCGCGTGCCCCCTCTTTCCTTCACTCATGACCTTCCTGTCCTAGTTCAACAGCAAACGACACCGTCAGTTCTCGCTCTAGCCAATGTAAATGGCTGCCTTCTTCTATCTTGCCTTCTCAAATGCACAATCTTTCTTCTAAGAAGCCCAAAGACACCCCCATGTCGGTCAATTCCCCACCCGTCTACACCATCGACCTCTCCCTGCCTCCACGCTCACGCTACAAAGCCGTTACAAGAGACTATGCCCCAATCCTGCACCAGCTAACCAGCCTCTACACCGAATTAGTCGCACACCTCAAGTTACCTCCTTTTTTCTTCCATTTCCTCGGCCGCTTACTGCTCCGCCGACTCGCTAGCAATGAGCAGACCGAGGAGCTACGCGGTATTAGCGAAGAATGCGGCGTACCCATGTACCTACTGGTGGCCTACAATGTATTTCTAGACTTGCTCCTAGGCTGTACGAGTGGCGGCATGCTAGCCAAAAAACCTGAGCAATTAGACGAAGAAGAACGAGGAGAAGGCGAAGAAGAAGTGACAATGATGCACTTCCGCACACTAGACTGGTCCATGCCCATACTCCGAGACGTCATTGTGCAATTCAACTACATCAATTCGCTGCAGGGAGAAGTCATAGCGCGGACAGTAGGCTACGTAGGTTTCGTCGGCGTCCTAACAGGCGTACGCAAAGGCCTCAGCGTTTCGCTCAACTTTCGTCCTTACCACAATACATCAGGCCTATCCCTCGAGAACGCGCGATACTACTGGGACACACTGCTCGTCCTCCTAGGTCGACGCCCAAGTATCACAACCGTAATCCGCGATTTCCTACTCCCCAGACCCATCGAAACGCCGCGAGTCCGCAGAAAGCTCTCCAAAAAACGAGGCCGAAGCGCACGCAAACAGCAAGACCTCGAAGACGAGAAAGAGAAATTAGTACCACTACACCTCCCACCCTACACCCCAGAAGCAATAACCTCCCTCCTCCCCACCCTCCGCACACCAGTCGCCTACCTAATCTTCTGCACCCCCTCCGAAACCCTCCTCCTAGAAAAAGACTTTCGAACCGCCAACACCCTCCGCTCCCCAACCTTCCTTGCCACCACAAGCCACGACATCGCCCTCGAACCCGCTTCTCCCTCCCAACCCCCCACTACTTCCTCACCCGTCCAACCCCGCATCCACGCTTTCCTCCAGGCAAGCATTTTCCTGCAAGCAAGCGTACAGGATATCCTGGATGACAGTATTTACTGTAAAGAATGCTTGACGCTGGCGTGGCTGGCGTGGCGGCGGCGGCGGCGGCGACGACGACAGCAGGAGCGGCAAGAGCAGCGTCAGGAAGACGACTGTGGGGCGCAAGAGCAGTCGGAAATAGTAGGAGTTTCGTTAAGTACGCTGGAGAGGTGGGTAGAAAGGTACCCAGTGAGCAATGCAACTACGCATTTTGCGTGTATTATGGATCCGGGGGCGGGCGTATTTCAGTGGATTAGAAAGTTTGAAGTGGGAGAGATTGTGGAGCCGGTTGTGATGGGAGAGGAAGAGTCTCAGTAGATTATGGAGAGAGAGAGGAGCATATTCTGGTTTGTATATTCTAAAAGAAGGATATTTTTGTGCAATGTACGCATGATCCATACTCACGCATAGACACAACCCAAGAAAAAAAAACAAGGGCGAGAATAACGAACGTTGCCATAACCATAACATTTCTATTCCTACAACCCATACAACATCATCTACGCCCTCGCCTTCCTCGCCTTGGGCTTCGCAACCTTCTTACCCGCACTCCTCAACCTCTTCCTCTCCACATTCGCCTTAATCCTCAAACTGCGCTTTCGCCACGCCGTCCACCGATCTCCAGGCACAAACTCCTTAACCTGCACTCCGGCCCTCTCGGCCGCACGTCCAATCACCCAATTAGCCTCGCGGTACGCATATCCCTTTCCAGACCGCAGACTCAATTCTTTCTTGCCGGCTTCCCTCGGTACCTCAGTTTCCGCTGCTACAGCAGTTGCTTCGGGCGTAGATGTTACAGGTACGGGCTTGAAGTTTAGGCGTCGCCTCCGAGCGGCGTTGGCTGGGTAGGGAAGTGTGTGGTCTTTCTCGAGGGCAACGCCGATGTATTGGCGTTTAGGGTGCAGTCTGGGATCGCGGTAGTACCGTACGTAGCCGGATTCTGTGGCGAAGATGCAGTGGTCGCGGCCGAATTTGCAGTTTTCACCCGGGAACCATGAGGTGCCGCGTTGGCGGAAGATGATGTTGCCTGGGATTACGTATTCGCCTTTTTGCCTTTTGTTAGCAATTTGTTGTACTTCTCTTGTCCTTTCTTTGTGGTTGTTCTTTTTCTGGAGATTGTGTAATCAAGACGTACCTCCACTCTTCTTTGCGCCCAGTCGTTTTCCCGGTCCATCTTTTGCGCCGTTGGCTCGGCCTTGGGCTTGATGTGCCGAGTGTCGTACAAATGAGAGGACTGGGGTGGGTGCAGCAGAGCCATTGGCTACGCGGAGGGCATCGAGAACACGGGTAGAGGGTGCGATAAAGGCCGTAGATGTCGCTATCGATGCGCGGACGGGCGCGAATATCCGTGGGAGCAGCATGGCCGCTCTGTTGCTGGAGAGGGCGGGCATTCGAGGTTGCAACTGCGACTTTTCGAGATATCCGCGTGGTCCGTGCGCCAACTCCGCAAGTCGCTGGTCAATGAACAATCTCAAGCCCTTGCGATCATCTCGCTGCTACTACTCTTCCAAGATCAATTGATAGCCGTTCTGGTCGCTCATGAATCTTGGCGCATCACTATATCAACAAGCTCTGTTTTCTAACGTAAAGCATACAATACCAAACCGTCGTTTCAATTAATTCATGCCAATGTAGCGTACACATCTCATCCATCACCTGTGAAATGGGCCCTCGTAACAAAAATCTAGTATGCTAGCACCCAAAACACCTTGCAGAGAATGCCGACCCATAGAACATAAGCGTTTAGCACCATTACCCGCTACCCAGACATTTACTGTACTTGGTTGACAATCTCTTGCGCCTTGGTCAGACTCTCCACCATCTGCAGGCAGTCCTTCCTCCTCTTGACCGTGTACTCGGATTCCTTCAGCAATTCGTCCAGCTCGTCCGTCTTGTACATGTTGGTGAGGAGCTCGCCCTGCATGTTCTCCTTGGTCCACTGTACGAGATTCAACATGATAGCCTTGGGTACCATGTCAATCATTGTCCGGCGGACAATGTTGAAGTAGGATGTGATCAGTAGTTCTGCAAATGGTTAGCAAGCCGGCATTGAAAAACACATTAGTCATGACTTACTAATAACCTCAACCTCCTGAGACTCCTTCTCCGAGAGGGTACCGGAGGCCTTGAGCGTAGGTGGCGGAGGCTCCATGGCAGCCATCTTCTTCTTGTTCTTGCTAGCAAAGAATGAGCCGAAGAAGCCACCTTCTCCGGAGTCAAGTGTAGGAGAGATAGATCGCGGTGGTACGGAAGGCGGCAGTGGCTTTCCGGTCTTAGGATCAACTTGTTGGGGCTTGTTGCTGTTGTGTCGTTCGTGTACAATGGCCATGGCGCGCGAACCGTTGATGAAGTCTGGGTGACCAGTGTTGATGTAAACCGACTCCATGGCGACAAGGTCCTTGACAAGCTTGTTGGTCGGCTCCATTGCCTTCTTGAAGAAACTGACAACAACTTGGTGCAGCTTTTCCTTGAGCGCAGGATACCTTCGGAAAGCATTCTTGTTGAGCAGCTGACCAAGGATGCGGATCAACTCGTCGTAGACGAGACTGACACACTTCAAGCTGGGGTCTTCGAGTCGCTTGATCTGTTGCTTGACAATAAGCTCGAAAGCCGTAGTGCCGACGAACAGCGCAGGAGATGAACCAGAAGAGTTGTACAGAACTGTTCGGATGTCCATGTCCTTGACCTGGTCAAAGGGATCGACAGCCTTGACACCGTTGGCGTACAGCTCGTGGTAAACGAACGAAATACGAGCACCACCGGACAGCTCGACTGCGGATAGTTCCTGGTTGTTTCCTTCAAGCACTCCACGGTATTCATTGGTAAACTCCGTGATCATGTTAAGAACAATGTTGGAGCTGTTGCCCAGCATGGAGTTACCAAGTGATGAAAGCTCAGCCTGATACTTTTGCAGCGAAGACGAGATGCGCGCTTTGATGTCGGGGAGAGTTTGCTTGATGTGCATCATGAGAATCTATGGTTGTTAGCTCACTGTTGTGTATGTAAAAGCGCAATAACTCACCAAGTTCAGCTTGCGGGCCAGGTAAGGTGTACCGCAGTAGGCTGCCTTGTTACGGTATGCCTTGTGGTTTTCGAAGTACTGCCTCTCATGCTCGAGCGCATAGGAGATCGCCTTCTTATTCTCGATATCCCTCTGACCTCTGTTCACGACAGGAACGTAACCCAATCGCAGCGGGATAATGCGTCCAGCGAGAATATCCACAACGTCGGTTCCCTCGTCCATCAAGTCTACCTTGGTCAAAACACCAATTGTCCGTTGTCCTTCTGGGTCGACCTCGCGCGCGAGCTTTAGACCGTCCGAGTTGGCCAAATCGGTGTTGGCGGCGGTGACAGCAAGAATGATAGCATTGGGCTTGCTGATCTGCTTGAGAACCATCTCACGAATTTGTCGCTCGATATCCCTAGGTTGATCTCCAACAGGCACCTTGGTCAGACCGGGCAAGTCGACGAGCGTAAGGGTGAGGACATTTGGTGAGTATATCCTCAGGTTGATGGGCGCTGGCGAAATTCCTGCATTGCGACCAGTCTTTTGCTCCGTCTCCCTTACAATCTCATCTCGTATCTTGCTAAAGTCATGGAACTTTTGGCCGGGAATGTGCAGAAACTCGCCCCATTCGTCGACATTATTCTCTTGGTCTGTGGTCTTTGCCCCCTCGCCAGTGCCGTTGGCTTGTGAACTGGATGCGCGGTTGATGAGTTGGAGAATGAGCGGCCTTCGGGTGACGATACCGGTTCCTCGGGGCAAACTACAGGGCTGTCGTCAGCATGCCATCGCCAAAGCGGTGTCGCAAATTGCAAGCACTCACAAGTCTCGTCCGACAATGTTTTCAAGCACCGAACTCTTTCCGCTAGACTGCGATCCTACGACTGCGATTTGGGGCAAATCTATGGGGTTTTGGACCTGAGTCAGGCATTAGTCTACGTGTTGCGAAATGGAGTGCTGAGGGAGGTAAGGGGTAGTAACGTACTCCGACGGTGGTGAATACATCCTGGAGCTTGTTGACGAGTGTAATCAGCCCCGGATCGTTTACGTTGATACTGTTGGAATGTTAGTTCTCCTTGTTGCGAGGGGCTGCCCAAAACATGAATGTGCCTACGCATTAGGGTTTGCCGCCATGGTCGGCGATTTGTGGATTGTGTTTTTCAGGCGTCTCTTATAGGCGCTTCAAGAAGGATGGATGCTTAGGGTTTAAGCAGAAGGGCGGGTGTTGTGTAGAGTATGCGAAACGGAGGTGTATGAGATCTGGGGGTTCTTGATTGCAGGTTGCGTAGCTGCTACAGGTTGTAACGTTTGGGAGCCCGAGCTTCGATACGCTGAGTACGCCACACAGCTCAGCCACACTACTCGGCTTCCAAACCCCCAACAGAAGACGCAGATTGATACCAGCAGCTTCTAGCACCAATAGTGGCAGTACGCCACAAGCCATATATTTTTCTGCCAATGATACTTTTGTAACAGGCATTATTAACACACTGCCCTGGGTTTGCAATGGGTTTGCGACAGCCAGTCTTTTTTGCGACACACGTCACTAGTCATATGACTGATATCAAGTGCCCTCGACCGCCTTGGTGACAGCGCACCCACACATCCATCCCTCACCCGTGTGGCAAATATCCCTTTGCGACCAGGTGATAGGCAGCGCCATCACAGGACGCGAAGCAGCGTCGTCATCAGATCAGGCACCCGTCCCATCGTCCCCGGCCCAAACCCAAATACGGCTGCCTAATAGAAACTATAGTAGCACGGCCTTTTTACCCAACTTTACAAAAGAAGTAGGCTTGACTTGATACATAGACACAGTATGTTCCTGACTGGATGACATGCGGTGCAGCCAATGCGTCTGTTAGAAACCTTTCATATCATCTCATTTTCACACCATATCGGTCTAGTGTACACATCTCAACGAACATAGAATATATATTGTACTCAGTTGCCGCGATTATCAACCAACAAAAAGACTGTCGCCTCCGGTCACATGTATCTACTCGTCAACCACAGATGCAAACTTCTCGGTCATCTTCTGTAGCAGCTGCTCGTACTTCTTCGTGACTGCCTCCTCGCCATCGCTGGGCAGCTCGAACTTCATCGAGCGAAGCTGTGACTGAATGTCCGAAGTGGCGTCTCGGATCTTGGGCCATGAATGTCCTTGAGATACTGCCTTCTGCGCCTCGTCGTGGAAAGCCATCATGTTCTTCATCATCCACTCCGTCTTCCACAGCGGGCAGAACTGGTCGTAGTCCGAGTATCCGTTTTGCTGCAAGAAATCCTCCTTGAGTAGCGTAGCCACATCGAGAGTGATCTTGTCGCTGTCACCGAGTGCAGACTTACCCACAAGCTGCACGACTTGGTCGAGATCGTCGGATGTCGTCAGAAGCTCCTTGATGCGGTCACGCAGCCGTGGGAAATCGGGGTTGTTCTTCGCATAGAACTTGTCCAGAGGTGTGGTGTACTTGCTGTAACTGATCGAAGTGTTGACCGATGGGAAATGCTTTCGCTGAGCCAGCTTCTTGTCCAAACCCCAAAAGACTTGCACAATGTTCAGTGTACTCGTAGTCACGGGATCAGAGAAATCGCCTCCTGGCGGGCTGACGGCACCGACGATTGAAACACTGCCGTATCGCTCGGGGCTACCCAGAGCCTCAACACGTCCAGCACGCTCGTAGAAAGACGCAAGCTTAGCACCCAGGTAGGCAGGGAAACCTTGGTCAGCAGGCATTTCTCCGAGACGACCGGAAATTTCTCGAAGAGCTTCTGCCCATCGGGACGATGAGTCTGCCATCATCGCGACATCTTTACCTTGATCGCGGAAGTATTCGGCCACAGTAACTGTATCATCTTGTTAGTTACCTGGTCTTAGTACGTAGAACAAGCAGTGAGTACTTACTACCAGTGTAAATTGAAGCTTCACGGGCAGCCACAGGCATGTTAGAGGTGTTCGCAATAAGAGTGGTACGCTTCATGATGGGTTCTTGCTTGCCGTCGACAGTGATGGTGAGCTCTGGGAAATCCATCAAGACTTCAGCCATCTCGTTTCCGCGCTCGCCACAACCAACGTATACAATAATGTCACTGTTGGAGAACTTGGACAGAGACTGGGAAATGACAGTCTTGCCGCATCCGAAGGCACCGGGAATGCACACAGTTCCACCCTGAACACTGGGGAACAGGGAGTCGAGCACACGCTGGCCGACAATGAGCGGCTGGTCCGAGGACATCTTCTCGTTGGAGGGGCGAGGCACTCGGACGGGCCACTTGTGCATCATGCTGTACTCAGTCTTGGTGCCATTGAAGTCCAGCTCCAAAATCTTCTCATCAACAGTGTAGCTGCCCTTCTCGGCGATGCGAGTAATGGTGCCCTTTGCGCGGGGAGGCAGGAGGATCTTGTGCTCGCTAAGAAGACTGTTCTCGAAGACGGTACCAAAGACATCACCACCGGTGATGTGGTCGCCGACCTTGAGCGATCCTGGCGTGAAGTCCCACTTCTTCTTGCGGTCGAGAGCGGGCAGATCAATACCGCGGGGAATGTAGATGCTCTTTGCGTCGTCGGCAATGCCCTTGAGGGGACGCTGAATACCGTCGTAGATGGTCTCCATAAGACCAGGGCCGAGCTCGACAGACAGCGGCTGTCCGGTACGGTAGACGGGGTCGCCGACGGTCACACCAGCTGCGAAACATTAGCCAAGATTTCACACCAAGCTTGATATGTCGGCGGAGGGCGTACCAGTCTCTTCGTAGACTTGAATTGTGGCCTTGTCGTTTTCGATTCGAATGACCTCACCCACAAGGTTGTCGTAACCAACACGGACCTGCGACTGTCAGTAACGGTCCCATCAGATATGGATATGGCGCACATACAAGCTCGTACATGGCACATCCAATCATGTTCTCGGCGATGATGACGGGACTGAATGGGTAAGTATATGTCCGGAGCACTGCCTAATATAAACGTACCCGGAGATGGAGAAGATGGCGCCTGTCTGGAGTCAGCGGATTGTTTGTCGCAGCATTGCTGAAGCTTACCATGTTCCTGGCCGCCCTCCGACTTCTGGTCCTGCTTCTTCTGCGCCGTATAGTCAGTTGCCTGTACGAGAGTCCAAATGCATCTAATTGCTTACGGGAGGCATCGTGTATATCTATATGTCCCACTCGCTGTCGTTGGCTTGTAGGTGGTATTGTTGCAGCCTCACGATGCGATGATGATTGCAGTAGTTGGAGGTTGAGCTTGGACCATGCGCTAACTCTTGGTGGGGACCTTCCTTGTCATCTGCCACCAGCCAACCGCGCTCCGTCACTGTTACTATTTGTCCCGCTACTACTGCTTTTACTAGGAATTTACAGCGAACTTCTTTATTTTTTAATACAGGATATAAACAGCAATTCCAATCGGCTCAGTTGTGCATCAGACATCATTGAAGTTCTGAGACATGTACGGTGCACAATCATTTTCGCAGAGCTATTCATCTACGTCATCGGCGAAACCGCATTCAGAGCTGCTCCGGTAAGCTGCAGTTGATAATTATCAGTACACTGCATGCCGCCCACGTCTCCCCAGCCTTTTCCAGTATGACATGTTATTCTGAAGACCCATTCATCTCAACCAAGGTGTCGTTCCGCTCGCGACACTCCCTTTTCTCTGTTGCGTCCGCAATACTGGTTCGCAGCATGTGTGTGCTTGTTAAAGCCCTCGAAGCCCGCCCATCCTCTGCCGCAGACAGGGGCTGCTCGGAAATGATACATGGTATAAAGCGTGCAAGCAAAGGTTTCATCACGAGCAGCGATGCACAGATGATTGCAACATTGATCTCGATGGACGAGAAGACGATTGCAAAAGTGCCGCACCCTGCATTTGTTCAGGTTGATGTTGGATCAGAATGGCCTGCGGTAACTTACTTGTAACTTGCCCATTGACCATGGCATAGCGGACAAGAGCAAGGCGTAGAATTGTTATGATGCACACACTGTGTTATGTGTCAGTGTCTAAACACTCGCTCGATGTCATCAAGATACGCACAATCCGCCCAATCCAAATACGACCAATAGACCAGTCTTTTGCCGCTTCGGAAGACTTAGTCGGCCGACGACTGGAAGAGGCAACGTCCAAACTGCGACATCGACTACAATACCAATGATGCTGGTTGACCAAAAGTGCCGCTCCTTGTTCATGCAGACTCCAGATATTGTGACATCCCAGTAACTTCTAATTGGGCGGCAAAGGAAAATGTTACCCAACGCGCCCCAGGCTGTAGCGCTGAATACAAGGATGAGAAGAATGTAGCAACTCCACAAAACGTGTGGGACAAGCGAAAAGAGGCGAATGTATTGTAGTATGAGGGACGCTTTGACAAGATTGCTCGCTAGATGATAGAGAATGGCTTGAGCCAACACGAGCTTCATGCAGTTAGCCTAGTACATTCACACATCCAGGCATCTTACTTTGAGCATAGCAGGTAGCAATGCGGGGTATGTGGCGTCTTCTCCAAGATCTGCAATGTCGATGCTAACCTCTATACCTCAGTTAGCTACCCCATCAAACCTCAATCGACTCTAGTGAACGCGTGCCTTGCCCAATGACTGCCGTGAAGCCTATCGACAGCAGCTACGACGGTTAGGGTTATTTTTTTGGTGATATCAACAGACACACTTACCAGAGCAGCTGTGATGAAGTAGTCCTCTAATCCGATTCTACTTGGATTCGAACAAGTTCGGCTGCATAACCGCAGAATGACCATTACTAAAGCGAGGGCGGTGAAGATGACTGTAGGAACGAGGGCGTCATAGCCGATGTCTGCGGTTGCTTTCGATCTGATAACAAACCAGCTTGGTGATTGCGCATGCGTCATAACGGGTTCAGGTGATGTAGATGGGGCGTATAGCAGCCGTGAAGCATTTGCAAAGCGATAGAGTGGCTCCGGATGTGAAGGTGTGCTGCAAGCCATTACAAGTCTATCCCTATGGCGACATGTACATGTGGTCTAGGCTGATCTTTGTGCCTCGGGAGAATATCGTGATAGTGGTTGGCATGATGATGCGGAGCCACTGAGGCCAGCATTTTCCGATCTTGTTCTTGAAGCAAGTCAACGCCCACGATTCGGTATGCGATGCTGAAGCAAGTGACTATTTGGTACGCATATCGGCTTTTCAAACCGAGACATCTCTTTGAAGATTAAATGATTTATTCGAGGAGGTTGGACTGCTGCTCCGGAATATAGCGAAGCGCATGCGCTGGTTCACACGTGCCCATAGTATGGTTCAGAGCGGGGTTATCACCTGCGGGCTAAGGCCTTCCGGTCTGTACCTGTGTGTAGCCATACGACTTTCCCGGAATATGTTTCTCTTGGAGGCCAATGATATTTCATAGAAGAGTAATGCTAAGAAAAAGATCCAGATGTTGTTCTCGAATTGTGTTGGGGCAACTGCGTGTGGAGAGCAGTGGAAGCCACTCGGAGAATACCTCTAAGCGACGCGCCCCTACATGCTACTTTGACGCATTAGCAGTAGAGTGACGTACGAGACAGGCACATGTGAGGACCTCTCGAACAAAGGGCAATATTTACCGACTTGAGCAAGCCGATTATTTGCCAGGTGTCTATATGTTAGCAACAGGATAATATGAGTTTCCTGGTTGTTTCCAGCTCTGACAGGAGGCATTTGTTGGCAGAGACCATAACAAGCCCGGTGTCATCTCTTGGGATGCAAGGGTGATTCGGCGACACAAGACATGAAGTTGTCAGCGTGAACATGGATATTGCATGGAATTTGCCTTACTGGCGACTAGTGGGAGCCAAACAACTCAGAATAGTGTAAATGCAATGCCGACGTGGCCGGTCCATGTGAGCACCATCTGGGCAGAGACTGCGCATCCTAGTGAGATGTTGATGAGATGGTATCATCATGAGGGAGCCAAGCAGCCAAGGCAAAAGTTGAACAGTTAAGAACTAGGGTGCATGTTCAAGTGGGCTGGTGTGCAGCTGCACCGGAATTTGTCACCATTCTAGGAAGCGGTGTGGTTGAAACGCATTACGCCGGGCGCCTGGCCAATGTTCCCCAATTAATACAGAGTAGGCGAACAGCAGGTGTGGCAGAGGGTAGTCGCGCGATACCGTATGTATGTACTCACGTACTCTACATGCTATACGCTTGTGCTTGTTTGGTCAGATGTGGAAGATTTTGACAAGCATCCCGGGCCAGCTGGGGCTTACGCAGTAGCCTCCTAGTGATAACAAGTAGCATCCGGGCTGACAGGGGTTGGGGCGCAAAGATCGTTACAGTGTGCTCTGATGGCGTAACATCAGCATGCGTGGGGACGCCGAATACGAGGGCGTTCACGAATGTGCGTTGAGGACAAAGGTGTCGGGTACGGATTAAGCTTTTCGCAGGTGTTCAAACACATGTGTGGGATTCGAGGGAGAGCCACTGCAGTGGTGTTTGGACAGGGTAGGCCGAGCACGCTAGGCGCCGTTAGCGCCGATTACGCATATGGCGATTTGGAATCAGACCGTACCGAGCGTATGGTAAGCGTGGGCATCTCTGCTCGGGTACTCGATTGGGCCTTGTCCCGTAATCTAGTATTTGTCAAGTATGCAAATCCATTTCCCGACCTCACGGCCGCTGGGTCACGCCTACCTACTGCCGCTGTGCCGTTGCATACTCATTGGCGGGTTCCTATCGCCCGACGCCTTGCATGCTTCTGCGGGTCCGCATAGGTCTATGTACTCTAGGTCTGTGTAGGCTGTCATTTTGTTCGTCTTATTCGCCATGCGCGCATGTACTGTTGTTTTGCCACTCTAGTGAGAGTCTCAAACACGTAATTTGACGGGGCCGTTGCTCGGTAGGCCTGAATCGTCATTTCGGGACATGTTTCGGAGAACTTGGCCCGCACGTATCACGGAGTATTTCTTCCATATGCATGGATAGGAATTGTGCTGTGACAAATCGACAAGAGCCATATATCTATCCGTGGAGCACCACTTTTTTTGGCGGCAGTAAGTAGTGTCGTTGACCTTGAGATCCAAGTCTTGATACCATTTCCATCCTTTCACAACACCAATGGCTCCAGCCTCTCTTCACCAGTCGTCACATCCATTCCTGACACCTGCGCGCGCATCGGACATATCGTCATGGACACGATCAGTACCCGAACGGAGCTCGAGCTCGTCCACTGAGTCTATTACCGACGCTCAGTCACGCCAAGCTGCCATCGAAGCCTATCGACAGATGAAAGCTGCCCTCTTCTCGAGATCTCTCCATCCAAACCTTTCCCGGTCTACCTGAGCATTTTTCACACTGCCACGACACTGCAACAGCACTGTTCTGGCATATTGCCACATTACGATTTACGAAACACTCTCCACCAAGACGAGCCATTATGAACCAACGTCGTCCTCAGAATTGCCCATCACTAGAGTTTTGATTGGTTAAACTCTCAACAATACCCCGATGACCTGGCGTGGAGTTATAATTAGGGCTGTCATAGCTGCCTTTTAGGGCGTTTGTGGAAATGAAGTGACTAAGCCTTATGGCCGGTGTTTGGAGTACAGATAACTACTATGTAATTAGATCAGGTTTTGTTTTTAAGTATTTGGGTTCCTGGACGATGAAAAGCGAGATGGCGCGCCACAGCGTCTGGTACTATACTTTAATTATCCCTTAATGTAGACATCTTTGTTTCCCGTACCACTGACGTAGGCCTGTTCACGTGAGAGGCATCTGAGTGCAACATGTTCTTGGATATGATTTCTTTTATTTCAGACCCCAGACCTAATCTAATAGTCAGATGAAGTCCGTATGTGCAATACGTAAGTCATAACCAAAAGCTGACCGTGCTCATAATCAGGTTGAACTCAGCTATCGTCCCTGCCCGGTTGCATCATTTCCGCGCCCGCTGCCCGCTTATCGATATGGGCGGGTCCGTGCACCAAAAGTTGATTCAACGCGACTTTGCGAAAACACGATCCGACTACCTTCACTGCAACCACATTCCAACTCGTCCACTCGCTTGCGATACCATAGTTTTTACCTTTGAAAATGTCGGGAAACACACCCAAAACCATGTCCAAAGGACTTATGGGCATGAAGGCAAGTTGCTGCGTCTTCGCGTGCTCACGGCATTTGCTAACCCATGCATAGTTCATGCAGCGTGCTGCAGCAAAGTCTTCGCCTTCGTCGCCGGCTACCTCCAATGGGCCTCCTGCTAAGAAGGCGCGTCTGTCACATGGTGCATCCGTCGTGGGAACTTCAGATCAAGAGATTATACAATCAGGGCTCGATGCCGAAGAAGCAAAACGTCAGGCGGCACTTGACAAGGCGGCGCAATACGCGGGTGAAACCAAGTGGGTACTGAGCTTTCAAGATCCTCTTAAGGGGAAGCGACAAGATGCTATGCAGGTCAGGCACGCGGGGTATGCGGAAATTGATGCGCAAGACGATTCAGAGGAGGACGAAGAGGACACCAGACCTGTGAGAATGCAGTTTGGTGGTGGTGTCAAAAAGGCAGACGTGCGTATCATCTGACTCGAGTAGTTTCCCGTGGCTAACAGTGTTGTAGACCTCGGTACCGATGGTAAAAACGGAGGACTCGGAATCCGACTCGGAGTCTTCATCGGACGATTACGACTCGGACGACGCTGCAGCAGATCTCATTCGACAGACGAAGCGCGAAATGGCTTCGGAAAAGCGAGAGTCCAAGAAGAAAAGGGCAAGCATGGGTAACAGCACGCCAAACGGAACACCAACGCGGCAGAATGAGAACAGAAGCCTCAATGGCTTAACATCTATTTCGGGCGGTCGGCGATCGGGTGGCGGCGGAGGAGGCATTAGTGGAGGATCTGGTCGCATGAACAATGTGGATTGCTACAAATGTGGGGAGAAGGGGCATATAGCAGCAAACTGCTCCAACCCGTCAGCCCCACGGGGATCTGCGGGTAGAGGGAACGGCAAAGGCCGGAGATAGGAAGGGCGCGCGCGCTGGCTTGACATTTATACGCCTTGTACGGTTCAATGATACCCCGTGGAGACTTGGTCTTCTTCGATCGCGAGTGCGATCAGCCAACCTTTTGTCCGTTTTCCACGAGCATGTACTCGTCGCCAACCATCATCTTCATCTGGCTGTCGTCCATGAAGTTGTCGTGGTCGCCGTTCAAAGCAGCGCCTTCCTTGTCGTACATGAACTTGGCTAGCGCGAGATAGTCGGGGAAGACAAAGGTGCAGATGGCGTCATAATCCATCAACTTTGCGTTTCCCTGCATAATGTCCTGGATGGCCTTTCGGTCGCGCTCAAGATGGTACGTCTGTTGCGGTCTCAGCCTGGGCAATGCCACAAACGCCGTGAGGGCAGAGTATATAGTAGAAGCGAAGCGCCTACAAGGCTGTAGCTGATGATTCCATGGCGCTGGAGGATGGGCACGGCCCTCTGCGCATGCTTATTGTTATAGTAGTCGATAAAGTCTTCGTCCGACATGCCCTGCTTCTTTTTGATGTAGATTGTTGCCTTTACGACCTTCCGGAAGCCCTCTGTGTTGGGATAGCCGGCCTGGAACGATTTGGGCACCATGTTGGCGCCAGACGAGAGGAAAGGTGGACGGGTGATTGCAGCAGCGCCGATAATAGGCGCATGGCCCGTCTTATCGACAATCTACGGCCCACTTGATCTCATGTTGAATCCCTTCCGGGGGCTCGGATCTCCGCCTTTGGTTGTCTACTCTTGTCGCGACATGCTCACTCCTCCGCATCCGCCCGCTGTTTTCTTTTTAGTCTCCCTCACCGCCCATTGCCTGCCTTGGGCGCACTAGCTCTTCTGGGTTGCTTGCGAGGTTACTGTTACAGCCATTGGAGCAGTACCGTGTTGACAACGCCTGTCCCCTTTACGCCTTCACAGCCATCGGCTGGCTCCACGGCAACTCTTGTGGATGCTCCGCTCTTTAGGCGCACGACAGTCTCTGGGAAATCTGTCGCTCGTACCACGACCCCAAACCGCCCCATATACACTACCCGCTGTCACATTGGTCGCGCGGTACACAGTACCGTCAGCAAATTGCCCAGCGTTGATCTCGCCCGCCACTAGTCTCCGCCAGCCACGCCGCATATATAACTCTCCCCTCCCCCAGACTGCCATCGCCGCGCCACCTGCGACCCAGCGAAGCCTCACAACCGCACCAAGAAAAAGGAATCGGTTAGCCAACATGGCTGGAGCGTTGGAACGGGAGGCTGTTCGACAGAGAATCGAGGATCTCGAGAGGCCGCAGCTCGACGACCGCTCCTATCGAATCGTCACTCTACCAAACCAATTGGAAGTCCTTTTGATACACGAGGCGGAGACCGACAAGGCCAGTGCGGCGCTGGATGTCAATGTGGGCAGCTTCAGCGATGCGCCCGATATGCCAGGCATTGCCCATGCTGTAGAGCATCTGCTGTTCATGGGCACCGAGAAGTATCCAGAAGAGAATGCGTACAATCAGTACCTGACGCGCCACGGTGGCTATTCAAACGCCTTCACCGCCTCAACATCGACAAACTATTATTTCGAACTCTCCTACGCTGCCACATCGCCCACGGCCAGTAAGGCTGTGACACCAGAAGCATCATCGACAAACCTGTTGGAGTCGGCAGATGAGTCACCGCTACGAGGCGCATTGGATCGCTTCGGCCAATTCTTCATTAGTCCGCTGTTTCTCGAAGACACGGTGGATCGCGAGCTCAAGGCAGTGGATTCAGAGAATAAGAAAAACCTCCAAAATGACACTTGGCGCATGCACCAGCTCAACAAGGCGCTCGCCAATCCCAATCACCCCTACAACCACTTCTCCACAGGTAGTTACAAAACCCTACATGACGAACCCATAGCACGTGGCGTCAAGATTCGTGATGAGTTTATCAAGTTCCACTCGACGCACTACTCCGCCAACAGGATGAAGTTGGTAGTCTTGGGTAAGGAGAGTCTGGACACATTGGAATCATGGGTAGAAGAAATCTTTTCAAAGGTGCCAAACAAAAATCTCGGACAGAACCGCTGGGATGTACCTGTCTACACAGAGACAGAGCTTTTGACGCAAACCTTTGCTCGGCCAGTTCTCCAGTCTCGGTCGTTGGACCTTCAGTTTGCCTACCGCGACGAAGAGAACTTTTACGAGTCGCATCCATCAAGATACCTTAGTCATTTGCTCGGTCATGAAGGCCCTGGTAGCGTTCTTGCGCACCTCAAAGCGAAGGGTTGGGCAAATGGACTCGGCGCAGGAGGCTCGACTCTGTGTCCAGGGTCAGGGCTGTTCACTGTAAACATCAAGTTAACAGAGGATGGCCTGAAGAACTATAAAGACGTCGTCAAAACTGTCTTCCAATATATTGGTCTGATGCGCGATCAGCCACCCCAAGAGTGGGTAGTAGAAGAACTGATGCGCATCAGTGAGGTAGAGTTCCGCTTCAAGCAAAAGAGCCCACCAAGCCGGACTGCCAGCGGGCTGGCAGGTATCATGCAGAAGCCATATGACCGCAAGATGTTACTCAGTGGGCCAGCCGTTATCAGGAAGTTCGACGCCAATCTGATCAATGAAGCCATGTCATATCTGCGACCAGACAACTTCAGGTTGACCATCATTAGCCAAGATTTCCCAGGTGGTTGGGATCAAAAGGAGAAATGGTATGGGACGGAGTACAAAATTGAGAGAATACCAGGAGATTTCCTTGCAGAGATCAAGGAGGCTTTTGAAAGTAAGAGCCGACCAGCAGAGTTGCACTTCCCCCACAAGAATGAGTTTATACCAACTCGATTGGATGTTGAAAAGAAGGAGGTCGCACAGCCAAGCAAGGAACCAAAGCTTATTCGCCACGATGACAATGTCCGCATATGGTGGAAGAAGGACGATCAGTTTTGGGTGCCCAAAGCCAACGTTCACATCTACTTCCGAACACCAATGACCAACGTTACCGCACGCGTTACACTTTTGTGCACGCTCTATCGCGAGCTTGTGAACGATGCTCTGGTCGAGTATGCTTATGACGCTGATATTGCGGGGCTGGTGTATGATTTCACCAACCACATCAGTGGTTTGTCGATAACAGTTAGCGGCTACAATGACAAGTTGCACGTGCTACTGGAGAAGGTGTTGCTCCAGGTTCGGGATCTGGAAGTCACGGAGGATCGTTTCAATATCATCCATGATCGCATGCTACGGTCTCTACGCAACTGGGAGTACGGACAGCCTTTCCACCAGGTTGGCACTTACTCCAGACAGTTCAAGAGCGAAAAGTGTGTGATGAACGACGAGCTACTTCCAGAACTGGACAACATCACAGCTAAAGATGTGCAGCAGTTCTTCCCGCAGATCCTTGCCCAGTGCCAGATCGAGGTGCTTGCGCATGGCAACTTGTACAAGGAAGAAGCTTTGAGAATCACCGACCTTGTAGAAAGGACTATCCAGCCCAAGCGGCTGCCTGCGAACCAGATCCCCACCCGCCGAGGTCTGCTTTGGCCTTCGGGGTGCAATTTCATCTACGAAAAGCAATTGAGCGACCCGGCAAACGTCAACCACTGCATTGAGTACAACTTGTACGTTGGACATCACTATGACAACGTCACCCGTGCCAAACTATTGCTTCTTGGACAGATGACAGATGAGCCTTGCTTCAATCAACTTCGTACCATTGAACAGCTTGGTTATGTCGTCTTTTCTGGGTCCAGCTTCCACGACGTCTGGTCTGGATACCGCATTTTGATTCAGAGTGAGAAGGACTGTCGATACTTGGAGGGCCGCATTGAAAACTTCCTCAATACTTTCGAGGGAACGCTTGCTGCAATGAGCGAAGAAGACTTTGAGAGCCACAAGCGAGCCATGATCAACAAGCGCTTGGCGAAGCTCAAGAATCTTTCATCAGAAGACAACAGGTTCTGGAATCATATCTACAGTGACTCGTATGATTTCCTACAAGGTATGTCTGTCCATAGTCCTAACAGTGTTACGGTGCTAACAAACACACAGCCGACGTTGACGCTGAGAACCTTGAAAAGCTCTCAAAGAAGGGCATGATTGAATTCTATGGCCGATATGTCTCGACGTCATCTTCACAGCGTTCCAAGCTGTCAGTGCACCTCCAAGCACAAGCCAAGGCCAAGGAGCCATCGATCGAGGAAAAGAAGACTTCTGCTGCTGCTTCGCTTCAGATCATTCTCACCGAACACAAACTCAAGTTTGATGATGCGGCTTTCCAGACTCGCGTGGCCGATGCATCGTCCATTGACGATATCTCAAAGGCTGTGACTCGTTATCTGAGCGAAGACATCAAGGTGGAGGGTGATGTTGCAACCAAGGTGCTAGATGAAGCAAAGGCTGCCCTCGGTGTCGCCGAATCTGGCTTGCCAGCAGCACCACAAACACTAGATGCGGCTGCGGATGTAGAGAGTGTGGTTGATGCGTCGCATCCTGTGCTCATCAAGGATGTGCATGCGTGGAAGGCGAGCATGCAGATCAGTACCGGCGTACGGCCAGTGCGGAATCTGGATGAATTCGTTGATGTTGTAGAGAAGCTCTGAGGATGATGTCAAATCCTCAGATGTTCGAAGCAGTCGCATGCAATAGAATAGTGTAGACAAATGGGTCGGCAACCTGTCCATCGCAGCGTAATAGCAAACATATTAACGACAGTTTTATGCACAACCTATTTCATTGCATGTGCATTCTGCTCTGCAAGGGCCTCGTGACCATGTGCTGATACTAGAATGATCAAGGGACAAGGCTCCACATTTGCTGCATGGCAGAGGCGCGATGAACGAGGCTCGGCCCGCTTGACTGCCGACGACTTCGTCATACACAACGGAACACCCATACCCACCCAGCATGGAACTGCAGCACCCTCTACCGCGCAAAAGAAAACTCGAACCTGCGGGGTGGAGGCTGAAGTGAAGAGAAATATCAAAACTCAAAAGAGGCGGAAGCATTGGCGACAACCATGCTACGAAGAAGCCTCCTTCGAGCAACTGCACGTCATCAACCTCACTGCACGCGCAACCCAACTCTCCGCCGCTACGCCACAGACCCCGTATCGCCCGTCACGGCGCCAACATCCCAATCGCGAATCGACCGCTTCAACCGGCGCCTACCCAAGTTCCTGCACAAATACACGAATGCCCTCGGCAACGCGCCCGTCACACACATAACCTCGTTCCTCATCCTCCACGAACTCACCGCCGTAATCCCCCTCTTCGGCCTCGCGGGCTACTTCCACTACACGCACTGGCTACCACCCTGGATCGCAGAAGGCGCATGGATCGCATCGGGCGTGGAGCGCTTCGGTCGGTATTTCAAGCGTAAAGGTTGGATCCGTGGCGAGGAGGCGCTGGAGGCGGAGCGCGAGGTGGACGATATGCAGAAGAAGCAGAAGTTGCGGACGGTGGATCAGGCGTGGAATGTGGGTGAGGGGGGTGTTAGGCTAGTGGTGGAGTTTGCGACGGCGTATGCGGTTGTTAAGATGTTTTTGGTGCCCAGGATTGTGTTTAGTGTGTGGGCTACACCCACGTTTGCGAGGTGGACGGTTGCGCCTGTGCTGAGTAGGTTTAGGAGGATGTTTGGGAGGAGGAAGGGTGTGGAGGGTAAGACGGCTGGGGCAGGGACGGGTGCTGTAGGAGGGGGTGCTGTGCCGAAGAGTGGGGTAGGTAAGAATTGATGGTGTTGTGGAATCTTGCTGAAGATATCTGAGGCTAATTGATGCTGTTGGAATCGGGGGTGAAGTCTGGATTCCCCTTTCATCCCTGTACAAACGCCTTGGGTCAAGGTTTGCTTCGCTTTCATCAACTCTCAAATCCGTCTTACTTTCTTTATCGTCAGTCCAATCCAATTCGGATTTGCTTTACCCCACACCCTCAACACCATGTGCTTCGACGGCAACGGCGACGAATATGAGTACGAAACTAGGGTTGAGGTCCGGAATGGCGAGCGCCATTTAGTCAACACCTACTACCCACGCCATGGCATGTCCCGCCGCCGTAAGTACGGATTTGGCGGCTCTTACTACCCTTCGCGATACTATGCTCGCCCGCCTCCAGGCTACTACACAAACAGGGAGTACGCCTATCTGGATCGCTACCCGAATGTACCGCTGCCTCAAGACTTTATCAGAGATGTGTATCCCAAATCCTACTCTGTACATGGGTACGGAATGGGATATCGTATTGGAGCTCGCGCTGCTATGCCGAGGCGTTACTCAATGGTAGGTTTCTTCCACTTCCCCCTTCCACTGATTGCGTTGCCTTCTGCCTTTTCTTCCTCACACCGCTGCTTTTCTCCATTACTATTGGTTTGCATGAGGCACTACAAGCTGCGGCCTTCGAGTCCTGGCGCGCGGCTTTGCTCTTGAGTTCCGTTTGTCAGGTGGGTGTCTCACATGGGCCTTCACCTTGACTCTTTCCTTGCTTCGCTACACTGCAATTCCTTGATTGCCGCCTATCCCACTTCCTCACCTCAGCACCATCGCAACCTCCAAGGCCTCAATCACTTCCCAAATTCTCACGCAAACCGCCGCCACGATGGAGGCGTACCCCAAACCTCGCCACCAGTACATTTACACCCCTCGCTACGGGCAACGCGGCATCCTCAGCTACGCGGGTCAAGCCCCCAATGGCGCCGCACCCACAGGCGTGATTGGCGGCGCCTATGCCTACGGAGTTGGCTACTCAGCAGCCGCAGCCTGTCAACCTGTGGTATACAACACTCGTCCCTTCTACGGCTCCACCTACCTCTACCCCTACTACAACCCTTGCTACACCTACTACAACTCCTACCTCTACGGCTCCCTATATCCCCTTGCTAACTTCTACTTCCCCTACCAGCGGTCCTACTACAACACCGTGCCCGCCTACGGCCACACAGCACACGTCTATCCCCCGGGCCATGCTACAACAACAACTACTACCTACCACGTAACCAACGCCCAAGCCCCCCTGTACGCCTCACCCACCGCCCAAATCCTGCGCGAAACCCGGCCAGCATATGTTCACGGCCACGCTTACACACCGCAAGCCCCAACCCGTGAGGAGATTCAGATTGAGAATCGCCGCATTGCCACGCAGGGTGGTGCGTATGATGCGCGTAAGATTCGGCCGGCGGATGCGCGCGACGACGACCCGTTCTGGTGCCGCGAGGTCAATGGCGAGTGGCATCTGCGATCATATTATCAGATTGAGAATGAGTGTCATCCGGGACGGTGGATGATGGATGCTGAGATTGGGTTTTTGGTGTTTCATCGGGCATAGATGAGGGCTCCAGTGAGTGTGGTGTGGAGGTTATTCGAGGGGGCGACTCAGATTATATGGAGTGGGGATGAGGAGAGACGGTGGATGCTTTATGTTCTGGTTTTTTTGATTTATGGGATACCCTTCTTTTTTTGGGGTGTTCAGCCAGGTCGACGATGATGATTTGGCAGATTGGCGTTTGGAATCTTGTCATCTTTGCAGGCGGATGTGAATTCGCTAGGATACAGTCTGATTGCCCTGCTGATCACGAAGTAGTAATGAAGTGAGGAATTGGATGAGAGTTTACAGGAATCACAATGATGAATTCGATTGAAGTTGTTACTTAAAAGTTTCTTTGCCATCTCTGTTCACTATACGTGGACAAAACTGAAGACATGTACATTAACACGTCATTTCGGAATTATAAATGAAAATACAACGATGGCCATCGGATACTGCACCAACGGTACAACCACCTGCCCTCGTGCAATATCTTCAATTCCCCCTATTACCATTATCATATTCAACAAAAACGCATTCCTCCCACATCATACCACCTCCTTTTCCTCATACTATAAAATTAGCATCCCACATCCAACCATCGCAAAACGCTTAATATACATCATCGCATCGTCCCAGCATATCAATCCGCAAGCAAAACCCCAACGTCCAAATAAACCACTTGATCAACTCAATCTTTAATGCCAACACCACGACGCAGACCCCTAACAATTCTCCGAAAGACCAAAAAGAAAGAAAGAAAGAAAGAAAGAGGGATTTTACGTGAATAGCAGTGTTGACATACGTTGGTGCTACATACCGGCCCTTCAACTGAGCAGGTGGGTAGCGAGGTGGCGGGAAGTTTACATCGAGGATGTGAAAACGGGGCCTGTAGATTAAGAGAAATTCCGATAAGGAAAAGGATAATTTACCTGACGTTACACTGATTATTGTGTGTGAAGTATCGATTCAGCTCGAAAGAGCAAGATGTAAGGGTACTTGATATCCTCTGTATAAACCTTGCAGAGTCTAGAATTTGTGTGAGATGGAAATTGTGGGATTGAATATTGGGATGTGCAATGTTATTTTGGCAGCGAGGCTGTCGACGGTCGTTGGAGTGAGTGATTGGAGATGGATGAGTTTTTCAGGTAGATGATGGTTGCCGATATTTCTGTATTCGAAAGAGATGTTTGTTTAGGTTGGGGGTTGCAAGTGCGAGCTTGAGCGTCGAGCCCGCTTTGGTAGTTGTTATGGGTTGTCCCGTTGATACATCGACTTGTTGTGAGCGTGGTGGCACTGACTGATATCTGTCGGGGGTGTTGTGTATTTGGTCTGCTGTTTTAAATCGAATAGTTGCGTTCTTAAGATAGACAGGAAGAGGGGAAATTGTCTTTGCTGTGTACAAATGATGGCATCCAGGGTTCAAGGAATATGCCATTACGAATAGAGCATCTAGCATCTTCCAAGAATATTTAACTCTCCTGTCTCGTCTTCATCTATCTGGAGTATACTTCAAAGAGAACCGGTGGCTCCAAATCAGTGGCAGTACTAATAGATTCATCCTGGTCTCCTTTTCTATTAAAGCTGTAGTAGCTGTTCCCAGGGCTCCTGGGCAAGTGGGTGTTGCTTAGTATGGAATAGAAATACCGAGTAAATCAGATGCTGATACGTGATGAAGAAGATTCACAAATCCAATAAAATGCTTTGTTGGGGTTCTAATCGGCAATAGTTCCCCGATATTGAGAGCTAAGGCTTTCAGGTTCAGAGATGCACCTTGATTCCCGAACTGTTGGATGATTCTAACAACCAACAGACAAATTGAATGTCTAGAATGCACGAGAATGGCTGATAATGGTCACTAATTTGCAATTGATGAATTTATCGCAGGTTCAGCCCTTTGCGCGGTAGGTGCGTAGGCATGCGAATCCGTTTGCGTTGGCATTGCTACGTATGCACTGTGAAGAACTGAACAAGCGTACTACTTCGAGCACACAAATTGTTCCAACTATGATATCTAGTACAAGAGTAGAACTGGAGGATCCCAGAAATTACAGCTGAGGGTGAAAGGTCCCGCATATATTTTCCTAATAGTGGATACGAATATATTGGCATGTGTCGTGTACATAGTTGTCCCGTCTAACCAACCCCTGTATCAAGTTGGTATCTGTAAACAGTGTAAGTGAGTTCCATAAGAAAGTTTTCTACATGTTGAAGCTTCATATTTGATATGTCTTCGACATGCAAAGAAGAAATTGTCTGCTGGCTAAGTTGGGAATCCAAAAAACATTACAAGGCTATTAATCAAATATGAAAGATAAAAATAACAAAAAACAGTCAGAAAAAAAAGAATGATTGTTACAATGATACGCAGGACCTTTCATGTACCATTTCACTTATTTCCCCAACCCCGCTACAGTCTCGCCCTGACGTCACAAGCACCCCCACATTTCTCGCAGCTCACCTCCGAACCCTCCACCCGACAGACTTTAGCTCAGATGCCGCAGCAGCAACAACGACAACCCCACTCAACCGGCTCGCACCTAACCACCTTCCTCTTCGTCTCCATATTCGTCATATCGCTGTTCCCCGGAATCTTCGTCTCCATCTTCTGGGCGCCATACAACAGTCTCGCAAATTACTTTGTCCCCATACCCGCACCGCGCAAAAGCGTCGTCTGTACCAGTCCGAACATCTGTACTTCGCCGCCCATAATGTCTTGGTAAGTTCACCAACCCCCAATTGATATCAGTACATCAAAACTAACACCGCTCAGGTCGCAAAAATCCCTTACACTACCCTCGCGCTCCCGCGGCTGCTACCTAATCACCGACCACATCCTCAAAGAGGTCCCGGAAATCAAGCAGTACAAGACGGGTCTCCTCAATCTCTTCATCCAACACACATCCTGCGCCCTCTCATTAAACGAGAACTTTGACGAGGATGTGCGCGCGGATATGGGCACAGCGCTCGATCGCATTGTGCCAGAGGACAAGAAGAACCAAGGGCTTTATTTGCATGATGCGGAGGGAAGCGATGATATGCCGGCTCATGTCAAATCTGCGCTGATTGGCGCAAGTGTTACCATTCCGATTACGAATGGGAGACTGAACACGGGAACGTGGCAGGGTATCTGGTATTTAGAGTTCCGCGACTCGAAGCATACGCGCAAAGTGGTGGCTACGATTCAGGGAGAGAAGATGTAGAGAGGGGCTGGGTGATATGATATCCATGGTTAGATTCTAAGCAATATATTTTGAACTGTGACAATCCAAATTCGTAGAATTCAGCAATTACTGATCAAGTGCGCAACATGTTTGTAGTCTAAGTGCCCTATCTCAGTGTCACTCCTTAGCTGATCAGTTTTCCGAAATCAGTGTTAATATAGAATGGTCAAGGTCATGTGTCATTCACGCAGAATCAGTGGTAGGCCTGTTTACAGGACTCTTAATTGAAGCACATATATACACCCTCGCAAGACTTAGAAAGGATTTACCGCTGTGACAGCGGCTCATCGGTGACCTTCTGTGCCTCGTTGACTTCCGCCGCATTGCCCTTGGGTCCCAGTGGGTATGAAAGCTCGTGCTCGGGGGTAGCTTCGAGGACAGCGCGGTGCTTCTCGTGAGCCTGTGTAGTGTTAGCAACTATTCTGTCAAGCCCAAATCTGCCAATACTCTGCAATCCGAGAATTCCAATTTGAATTAAACATTTTAGTACGTACAAAGGGTACACCACAGTATGTGCACCAGCAGATCTGGGGCTTATCTGTGTTGATAAAGATTCGGGGGTGTCCGAGAGGACCTCCTCCTCCGTCACATGATACGACACGGTCGTGTGTCCAGCGGACAGGTTGCTGGTGGATGAGCTCAATGGCAGCATATGGGCGTGGCTGAAAAGTCCCTGTTAGCAATTGTTTCGTTGTTCTCGTTCTTCCCACTAGCAACCGCTTGTTCCCTGCCTCAGAACAGCACAACGCCCAATCTTCATATCCCCATCACAACTCCCAGCAGAGCCAAGACATACCTGATCCGCGATGATGGTCTGCTCAAATCTCGGCCCGCTCATCGCAACTGCCCTCGGGTTTTGACTCCTCGACCAGATGCCCTTGTAGTTGGGCGCCTGTGTAGTCCTCAACTCCTCGGCATCCTGCACAGACTCCTGGAGAACCTGGTCGAACGAGCCCTCAGAAGAGGTGGCCATTTCATTGGTTGCTGAGACATTCGGCTTCGCGTCGCGCTTGACGGGGTCGTTGGCGGGGACCTGGTTGCTGGTTGTAGCCGTCGAGACATAGCGGGCAAAGGGGCGGGAGGCGGCCGCTGCGCTGCGGGAGCGCAGAGCGCGAAGGGTGACGGGGAGCATCTTGGGCGAGGTGTTGGTGCAGACGGGCTGCGCAATTGCTGGGCGAAGATGCGGGTTGCGTGGTTGAAGTTGAGCTTCTGAGCATTCGCACTATACGTGACTTACATAAGCAGAGGTACTAACGTGTTCCACCAGTAAGCGGCCCACCCCAGTAAGTGGCCCACCCCACCAAACTTGACCTGACGTTCTACGCAATTGAGTCACAACAACGTAATAAAATAAGATAAAACTTGAAAAATATAATTTATTATCTAGCTCTA